GTTGTTTGGCGGGTCCGGGCTGGGGATTCGAACCCGCCACCTTAGGTGTACGTGGCTGGCGCCTTAGCCGGTTGAGCTATAGGCGCCGAGCCTAACCAGCTTTTTCTAAGATTTATTTTAAAATTAATTTCAATTTATTGAAATATGAATATATATAATCCTTCAATGAGATATTTACTTTTTAAAATATTAAATTAGTATAGGTTTTAAAGTCAAACAATTTGGAATTACTGACCTGGCTCTTTCGCAAGCTTCTAGTTTCTCAAGGAAGAACTACTAGAAAACCAGCAATTTTCTTCATCCTTCTATAGTGATGATCAGTTCTTAATGACTTCTAATATACTTCTAGAAAATAATACTCCTTACCATAAAGTAATTCCTCTGCTTAAAGTACTGCAATGGCTTCTCAGTAAACATACAATAAAATTGGAACTATGACATAAGCTATCCCCACCCAGCCTCATCTTATAATAATACTCTCCCTTGCTCCTTTCCTCTATTCCTTAAGCAAATCAAACTCCAAGTTTACTCTTTTTTTTTTTTTTTTTTTAAGAGAGAGCAAGACTTACTCTTGCCATGGGTAGTGCACCATGGTGTCATAGCACACGGCAATCTCAAACTGTTAGGTTTGAGCAATCCTCTTGCCTCAACCTCCTGAGTTGCTAGGACTACAGGCCATGTGCCACCATGGCCATCTAATTTTTCTATTTTTCATAGATGGTATCTCTTGCTTAGGCTGATCTTGAGCTCCTGAACTCAAGCAATCTACCTGCCTCAGGTTCCCAGAGTGCTAGGCTTACAGGCATGAGCCAACATGCCTGGCCCCAAATTCATTTTTAAGGCTTTTGCAATTACTATTCCCTCTGTATCTAGTGTTACATGATTGGCTTTTCCTTGTAATTCCTGTCCCAGTTCAAATGTCATAACTCTGTCATGCCTTCCCTGACAATTCTATCTACACCAGCTCTTGTACAACCCTAACTTTTTTTGTAGCATATTTCACCATATGAAATTATCTTGAACATTTATTTTTCACCTTGTTTACTATCGATCTTCCACCACTAGAATATAAGCACATAAGATCAGGGACTTCATGTTTATCACTGTATCCACAGCACCTAAAATAGTGCTGCCACATTTAGATGTAGTTCAGTAAATAAATAATTTTTTTTTTTTTGAGACAGAGTCTCAAGCTGTTACCCCGGGTAGAGTGCTGTGGTGTCACAGCTCACAGCAACCTCAAACTCTTGGGCTCAAGTGATTCTCTTGCCTCAACCTCCCAGTAAATGAGTAAATTTAATTTAAGGATACCAATAGATTCACTAAAAGCAAAACCTTAACTGAAATGAGCAAATACTATAACAGACCTGTAGCAGTGCTGTCTGCTGCTCAGGTCTCTAATACAGATGCAAAAGAAGTGTCCTTGTGCTTTCTGTCTGCCTGATTGTGGTGGCCAAAATTAAGTAAAGGAATACAAGGAAAAAATGGAGAATTTTCACAACCCAGAAATAACCTTCCTTGTAAATAGTGAAGAACCAACCTATTTTACCCCCAGAGAATCTAAAGTTTGAGTTTACGCTAGAAGTGGTGGGAAATAGTCCTCTACCACCCTTATATGATTGGTTACACTTATAAAAGCTTAAAGGTTAAAACTAATAAAAAGCCAGAAACTCTTGGGTCCCTTTGGAAAAAAAAAAATGAGCAAATACCTTCCTTGAATAATGAAAATATAACTGCATGCCAGATACACACACACACACTCAGATATTCACATGAAAAGAAACAGCCACAAACAGAAATTCAACAGAGATCACAGTTAAAAGTGGGAGACAAATGAAAGGGTTTTATTGGTGAGAAAAATCAAAGTATGTCTGACAGGTGGGAGAAAGTAAAAAGCAAAGAGACAGATGGGTTATGTAGGTGGGAAAGAACAACAGTTAGGGAGTAATTGAGGCAAGAGATCAAATAATCAGTCTTCAATATACCTGCAGGTACAGTAGAAGAGATGACCTTCTTTGTGTAGCTGCTTTGCCAATTCCAGTTGATGATTGTTCATCAACTGTTCGTTTACAACCACCACAAGTGGCTTTCCTTTTTCCAGACACTCCAAACAGGTTCCTGCCCCTAAAAAAATAAATCACACTGTTCAATACAATGTTTAAAGTTACAATGCTCCATCAAGCTTTATACTAGCAGTGGTGTCCAACCACAGCCTGAAGCTGGCTATAAACATTTACTCATCTAAGAGTTGTCTTTGGCAACACATTAAATATACAAACACTGACAAAAGCCAATGAGCAAAGCAAAGGTCCGTGGCATAATTTTTGTGATTATCTGCCACCATAGACAAGCATTCACAGCCAGCCACGGGCCATGGCTGGATGCTCCTGAAAGTTAAAAAACAGTTAACACACCTACAAAGCAGGCCTTTCAATTATACATTCAAAATGAACGAAATGAACGAACTGCTCTACGGTATTAAAAACCCGAGGTGAAAACTACATTACTTAAGCAATGACAATGATATTATGGCCTATGATTCAGTTCTATGCCATCTGGGGTTTACATCCCCATAAACCCACAAGTTAAAAATATACTGTTGAAAATGCAATCCCCCGGCTCGGCGCCTGTGGCTCAAGCAGCTAAAGGTGCCAGTCACATACACCTAAGGTGGTGGGTTCGAATCCCCAGCCCAGGCCCGCCAAACAACAATGATGGCTGCAACCAAAAAATGGCCAGGCGTTGTGGCGGGC